TTCATTCTGAACTTACCATTCTTATATGTCTCTTCTTCTAGCCACATTGTATTTCCAAAAATATCCTCTCTTTGTAGATTGGTATTTTGGTGGAATCAAAAAATGCACATCAAAACAATGTTAGCTGCACTACACACAGAATGGAAAACAGAGAAATTTCTCGTTCTGCCATAACAAAACGTACGAAGTGTTATAAAACGTTGGAAAACAACCAAATTACTTACATAAAAATGATCCAACAGGTTCTCAAAGACCCTTTTGTGTGTAAAATAAGGTTAAATTGGCACTTACCCTGATAGAATTTCACCGGAAAAGTTTGTACAAATACTATAACACTACACTTTTATTGGAAAATTTCAGTAAAAACGTTCAAAACACCAAACACTGTATGAAAATCCGGAAAAATTTTAAAGTTTAGCCTAAAAAATACAAAAACTGGGACTCGTTTTTTTTTACAATTGACTTTATTGTCAGTTGTCAATTTGGCATGCCGTCCTTGTGATGTTGCCACATTCACAATTGAACTGATATTTAAATACATTTTTTAATTGATATAAACATTGATTGTGAGCTGATTCAATAATATACCAATGTTATATTACAATTCAATAAAAATATACATTAAATTCCATTGAATAGTCTTACATTATTTAATTCTTGTGACTTCGATATGGAAGAGGAGAGCCGGCAACCTTGCCTCAAGGTAAAATTTGAAATTTTGAATTTCCATAAGCGTAGATTTGAGTTATTTTTCTAAATTGCTGATAATTTGTTTTAGGGTGATTCAATATAATATAACATTTATTGAATAACTTAATATATATACGACCCACACAATAAGAGCTTTTGAAAAAATCCATTTGAGCCCTGTTTGAGTTACCTACGTAATAAGTTGTCTTATCGTACTAGTGATGTAATAATGAGGTCATTATATCACTAGTGATTTAATAAGGTCCTTAAGGTTTTGAACGTTTTGAATAATGAATGAAATGGAACAGTTTCTACTTGATCTGCCAATAGTCAGTGTTAAGGGGACATATCTCTAATTGGTTCAAGACTTACACATTTCTCACTAGAGATGTAACCAGTTAATAATGAGAAATTAGTTGCCAATATTTTGTCAAACAGTTTCAGAATGTGCAAGAAAATATTCAAGCCATATCCCAATTTGGATCCTGATACATTCTCTGCTAATTCACTTGAAATTGTTACTTTTTCACTTGAAATTTGTAACTTTTTCAGTTGAGAAATAATTGGAGACTGCGCTCAAATCACTGAAACCAGATTTTAGTCCAGGAGAGGATGACCCTACCAACTTTTTGAACAAAGTGTGCTGCAGTTTTGTCACAGATCACGTAAATACAGATGAGTAAGTAAGTATCCTTGCTGTCGACGATTCAAAGCTAGGAAACCAGGGCAGCCGGCTCCCTTGCCGCATGTCACAGAGATCATCCGCGGCATTCATAGTGCGTGAGCGTGTTCCAGCCTGTTGTGTTTATATATTAACCTTAATTGAACCACGAATTCACCGCTATTCCGCATCTGTATGTAGGTGATATGTGGTTTTGTCACGTCCCCTCTCAGCAATGATGAACAATCTTCCTGGCAGTGCAATCTACCAAGGGAATGAAAGAATACAACTACAGTGCCTATTTACAAGAAAGGCAACAGACACCTGCCTGAAAACTATAGGCCTATTAGCTTAACAAGCGCCCTTTGCAAATGCATGGAGAAACTTCTGGTATCTAAGATGACTGGATTTTTTTTCTCGGAAATGGAATCATTCCACCTTCCCAGCACGGGTTCCTTCTTGGAAGATCCACTTTCACGAACCTGCTTACCAAAGGTTCATGACTGGACAAGGGCAGATGACTAGGTACCTCTGGCCAGTCTGTTGATGTATTTTACCTAGATTTTGACAAGGTACCATTTGAGCGGCTTCTCCGTAAACTCCATCTATGGTATAAGAGGACTTTTACTCAATAACCTAATCCAAGATTTTCTGCAGATCGGAGTTCTGTGTTAAGGATCTATGAATGAAGTCAACCTGTGAGGTTTTTAGTAGTGTCCCCCATAAGGCTCAGTCCTTAGCCCTCTATTTTTCCTTGTATATATATTAGTGACCTGCCAAATGGATGGGACAATACAATAGCAATAAGAAATGGACGATACAATAATTAATAGTCTCATCGGTTTATTTTTACTGCTCACTATTGTCAACCAATAATATATCCATCTGCCAAATGCAGATTTTTTTATGTTTGATAGATATTTTTTTCTTCAATTAATATGCACATCTCTTGTAAAGTTAGCTCAAAAAGTAAAATATAACAACTTATTATACACTCGATCCTGTAATAGTTATTTATGTATCAAGGGAATTATGAGGGTGTTAATACCCCTGGGCAAAGTTTGTGTATCCCGAGGGCATTCGGCCCGAGAGACACAAATTGCCCGTGGGTATTAACACCTGATAATTCCCGTGGTACATAGATAATTTTATTTCCTACTGAATTTACTGTATTTTGTCCATTTTTATAAAGGAATAAACCATAAACCAAAATTTCTATTTTTTGTCAAAGTTTCACCTATTCAAGGTAAAAGCGGGAGTTATGGAAATCCTTAACTCCCTTGGGAGTTATGATATCCTTAACTCCCTTGGGAGTTTAGACCCTGTTTATGATTATCGTAACCAAGGTAATAATTATATGGTTATAATAGTTCAGTAGGAAATAAAAATTGTTTTACTCGTATCTGCCGAACTCGTTTTTGATAAGTTTATAAGTAGGTAGTATCTGAAATACTTAGTTACTATTTCACATCAAAACAAATTCTTTTTACAAACAAACAAATACCTATTCAATTTGCAATAAAAACGAACAAAAGTTTACCTCCAGTCAATAGGTAGGTACGTACTCAGAAAAATTTCAAACTAAAAAACATACTATGTAGTGTAAAATTTTTATACTTAAAATAAAAAACAGAAATCAAGTGAGATTCATTCATTCATTACATATTCTATAAGGGTTTTATTATTAGTGAAAATGGTACACATATCTAGCAATATTTACATATTATAGAAACTACCTTATACCTATCCTGTCATAATAGTTATTTTCCTAACAAGTGCGCAAAGTGTTACTTTTCCGCACGCAAACACAGTTATACGAACGACGCGAAGCGGAGTTCGGATACGTGTTTGTGTGCGGAAAAGACACTTTGCGCACGTGTTAGGAACAAAATTTTTCCTGCGAGCTTCATATCAGGTAGGTAATAACAAAAATTAAAAAAAAAAAAACGATAATTTGTTTAATTATTTTTAATTAACTTGAAGGGAACCTATGCAATTATCAAAAAATTACATAACAAAAAAAAATAACAGAAAATCCTCGTCAGAGCTGTTCATCTTAAAGCATTTAAATTTGATGAGAAAGTTTGTAGATTTTTGCATATAAATAGAGAACAAATCTGATGTGTCAAAGTTAATTTATAATTGGTGTTTGTATAGATGTTGGCTGATATAGAAATAGAGGAAAAATTTGTCATCATGTGTCAAAGTCGACAGGTGCACTTATTGTTGCTTGACAATTATAATTACTTTTCGGCACTCAGTGCGGATAAGGCCTGTATCCGCACTGAGTGCGGAAAAGTGTAACTTTGAGCCCGGAAATGCGTGCGGAAAAGTACTACTTTGCGCACGCTCGTAGGAAAAAATATTATTTCATCGTCTTCATCTTCGTCTGAAACTGTCGATGTCTGATAAGTTTTCTTCGATCTACCTTCAGTATTATTCGTGCTGGTTTCTGTCCTGACTGGATGAAAGGAAAACTGCTCTTCGGGCCGGCTGCTTTTATTTTTCAAGTACCAGAAATAACTTTCCACAGACTCTTTCTTGGGATCTTGTGGTTCCAATTTGATCTGACTTCGAGATGAGCGGTAAATACATGATTCTTTTTTGTGTCTGTGGATATTCTTTTTATGGTTCATTGGTTTATTACAGTCGCTACATTTAAACATTATATTAACTATAGCTATGTGAAAAGGTACTGACAACGTCTATGAAAGCTCTCGTCTCAATCTCCTGGGCTACTGGCAGTCAACGCAACGGTTGATTTAATCTGTGGGTTGAGAATTGTCTGTTATATACATTGTACATAGCTAGCCCAGCCTGACTCAAAAACGAACCAAATTTCCTCCACGAATTTTACCTAAGTTATAATGGCGATGTTGCCAATACTATTTTGGTATAAGTACTTTATGGAGTACCTACCTTTCTATAATAGGTATATATATTCTGATTGGATTCGTCACACTATCCAGACAATATCCTTTATACTCAAATGAATTTAAGGATTTCATTTATATGGTTCTAAAGAGTAGATACCTACTCAAAATATCACATGAGACTCAGGGGCTATATGGCTAATTTTTAAAAAAAGTTTTGAGGAAGATGTTAAAGAACACAGAAAATTTCACATTGAGGAATCATCACAAACACAGACGTATAATCAGACGTAAAAGATAGCTCGAATGTCGTTTGTGGACATCTTAGGAACGTCTTCAAGATACCTTTATGCTATCTGGGTAATATAGCTATGTGAAACATGAAGTTACTGTTTTACCATCACGTGCATCACATTTTTCAATTACAACAATTTGCAATAAACACTTAACAAAAGTTTACTTTCAGTCAATACTCATTATAAATTACAAGCTAACAAAGACTTGACCGCACTGCAGGGTATACCTGAGTAGGTAGGTACCTAAACTGCGAAGATTATGCCGTGTAAAATTAAAGTACCTGAATTCAAGCGGCTGTAGGTTTTCAGATTGGAAGCAGTATATTTGCGAAATAAAAACTAGAAATTAAGTATCATATAAAAGTAATTTAATTGCAAATACATATTTTATAAGGGTTTTATTATAGTGAAAATGGTACACATAGCTTAACATAGCAATGTTTTAAAATTTTAAATCCGTTTTTAACAGAGACTACATTATCATAAAAATATTATTTCATCGTCTTCATCTTCGTCTGAAACTGTCGACGTTTGATTAGTTTTCTTCGATCTATCTTCAGTATTATTCGTGCTGTTTTCTGTCCTGACTGGATGAAAGGAAAACTGCTCTTCGGGCTTGCTGCTTTTATTTTTCAAGTACCAGAAATCGCTTTCTTTAGAGTCTTTTGGCTTGGGATCTTGCGGTTCCAATTTGATCTGACGTCGACGCGATAACCGGTGAATACATGATTCGGTTTTGTGTCTTTGGATACTTCTTTTATGCTTCATCGGTTTATTACAGTCGTTGCATTTGAACATTATTTTAACTATAATATTTATGTAGAAAGGTAGGTACTGTATTTAAACAACCTCTGTCAAGTTCTTCTCTCAATCTCTTTGCCTACTGGCAACGGTGAATTAATTGTCTTGTCTTGTCCTTAACCCAGCCTGACATGAGCTTGACTAGAGAAAGAACCAAATTTCGGAGATTTGCCCTCCACGAGTTTTACCTCTACCTGTTTTCTTGGCGACGTTGTCAATACTACCTATTTGTTATAGGTATAGGCAGGTAAGTCGAAGGTAGTCAATGGTATAAGTACCTACTGTTTGTTTTACGAGGGCAAACCAGAAGCCATTCAATAAAATTGATTGTGTTAAAAGACGCATAAATAAAAATATATACGAATTAATCTACGACAATAAGCCTTTTTAGTTATGAAATCATCGATATCATAAGTACAAACCTTCGTGAAATGAACTTTACCTACTTTTCTATAATAGGTATACACGTTGACTTTGGAGGGACCTTATCCCAAATATCAATAATCCTTTAACGATGTTACTACCTTATGTTTATTGGATAAACCCAAACCCATCAATAAATAATTTATTCATATTAGTAATTTGTCTACCATTAACTGAATTTAAGGATTTCATTTATTTCAAAAGAGTTACTCATAATATCACATAAGAGACTAGGGTGGACTAGGTATCTGGTTAATTTTTTGAAAAATGTTTCGAGGAAGATGTAGGGATCAAATGCAATATCCGACATATTTTGCAATCCAATCAAAATCCGCATAGTTGCCTGATTGGCAAATGAATCGAAATGGCTAATTTACAGAACAATATGCGACATTAAAGCTTACGTAAGTCAAGAAAATGGCCAATAGAAACCGATGATAGGTGACGTCAAAATCCCATACAATTTGAATTTCAACTACAAATCATCACAGAGAGAGAATAAAATTTCATAGGAACTCTAACAATTTAGAATCTAGAAATAATGGTACCATTTTTTCTAAATCCCGAAAAATTCATTAAAATCTCTAAAAGCGTTACTAATACAGAGGGAAAAATTTCAACACCCTGTATTTTGGAAACGACGCACTTCCGACTATCGGTGTCCTATCTCAAACTACTTCTCTATGGTAAATCTATATAGGTACCCTAGCATTTTTGACCAGTTGAACGGAAACACCCTGTATACCAGGACTGTCAGACAAAATAGAACGAATAAGTGAAGAATACAACATATATAGGCACCATTTTTGAAATCCAAAATACAATAAGATCAAAAATTACAAAAACAAAACCAAATAATTTATAAACTTCCATGTTATCAATATGTTAAATTTTATACTGGTGAAACTCGCTATAACAATAACAAATTAAACCTATGCCAATATCCTTATCACTAAGACCTCGATAGGGTAGCTTTATAAGTTTGGAATTTTCTTACTGTCGCCGGGATAGTAGTGGGACAAATAAAAATAGGAATTTCTCACTCATCATTGAACGTTTCGGTTTTATTTAAAACCTTCCTTAGCACAAGTGAGGTTATCCTAATAAAAATTTACCATACATACATAGTAGTTAGTCACGTTTCTATGAAAACATAGATACATTTATCAAACATATTACAACAGAAAAACGAATTGGAAAACAATTTTCTTTCATTTGAATGAAGAAGAGCAAGTTAACTGTGGTACACGAGGTCAGAGGTGGTACTACTATCCCGACGCTAGTAAGAAAATTCCTAATAAATCCAAAAGGTCTAAGCCAAAAGCACAGAGAAACCCTCTTCAAATTCAGCTTCATGAGTAGTTTTTTGACATTTTCTCTATAGGAACAACCCAAAACCAGTCTCGTGTGTTTTGGCTAGATATTCCAGATATTCCACTTCCTTCCTTTCCTCGAGCGATCACTTCCATAGTTTTATTAGTAGGGCGCATATAGACTTTCCAATACGAGCATCAGAAACAGCTTCAGCGATGCCAGCATCCCCGACAGATTAGGCTCCAAAGGCTCTGAGTCCAGCAAACCAGAGGAACTTTAATTTTCTTTCGATCACCATTCCCTCTAACCGTTTTGCGAGCTGCTTGAAGTACCAATTTTATATAAACGCTGGTACCTTTTCCACAGTACGGTGCTTAAACTGCTTTCTTACACTATCAACAACATAGGATTTGAATGGTTTGGGAATTCATTGGAACGCCGAAGGGAAGGGAATCTTTTTCCAAAATACGTAGAATTAGAGAGAGTGCATCAATTTCATTAAATAAAGACAAATGTTTAGAAGTCATCCGAGCCTATAAGGTAATATTGAATCCACCCCAAACATAGGTACAAAGCTTTAATTTAATCTTCATAAAACTACAAAATCACTAATAATGGATCAACTAACTATTTTTCTGGCTCCATAGACTGTTATGCCCAAACTTCGTATTTGTGGGGATTATTTTTGGGAATCCCCAATATGTTATTAAGAGATTGTGCACCATTACCCTAACTGAAGGAGACTTAAACATAGAAACTGTCTCAGAACTTTTCTAAAATGGGTAAGTACCTACTCAGGTCTGATGGAAATATATGAAAATTGTTAAAACTTGGAAAAATTTAAAAAAATAAATTCTCGAAAGTTTTCAATATACATACTTGATATTATATTTATATACTCCAATAGTAAGTAGGTATGTATATCACAAGTTTGTTTAAACTTCACATAAAACATAGAACCAGAACCCACTGTTAATAGTGCTAATAATTCGTACTGAGATGAAAAACACAAATGGACATGGGCAAGCCCGGATAAAAAGACAAAAAACGAAATAGACTGACACATCAAAAACACATAATCCAAGATGTAGACGTGGCTCACGACTGACAGTGATCATAAAATGGTAAGATGTAAAATATACATAAATGACAGACAAGAAAAAGCAATGAAATTCAACTGCCCCAAAAAGAAATTAGTAGTAGTAAAACACAAGAAACAGAATTCGCAACAAAAATAACACAAAAACTGGAGAAGGACCCCATATAAAACCACACGAAGACATAAATCAAATTAATAAAAGACTAACGAAAGCAATAAAAGATACAACAAAACATATCGTGAAACCAAAGTATAGGCCAGAAAAATTAAGCAAAGAAACCAAACAAATGTTGGAGAAAAGAGAAGAATTCATAAAACAAGGGAAAAAAGATATACCAGAATACGAAGAAAATAACAAAATAGTCAAAAAGATGACAAAACAAAACATTGCAAACTACCAAGAAGCACAAATCGAAAAACTGATAAAACAACAAAAAATCTTAAACGTTTTCAAAAGGGAGAACGCACACAAAAGTGAAATTACAAAGATGATGAACAAACAAGGAAACATTAGAGAAGCCAGAGAAGGTGCAGTATTGCGTGTGGCGGAAAATTTCTATAAGGAACTATATACGACGTGAAAGCAACAATGAAAACAACACAAGAACCCAAAAGTGAAAAAAATCCAAAATTCTAAATGTTGGGTCAGAATTAAGAGATCCCTGATATAGAAGACGAAGAAATTTCAAAAGCGCTAAGCCAATTAAGCAACAGAAAAGCCCCAGGAATGAACGATATACTACAAGAAATGCTGAAGGAGGCAGAAGAATAAGAATAAATCATGGTAAAAGAATTACTCCAAAAAGTCAAGAAGATCGAATTAGAAATGAACATTTCAAAAACAGAGTCAATGACAAATGAGCAAACAGATATGGACACAAAATAACCATAGAAAACCAACTGGTGAAAAAAGTAAACTCCTATAAGTGTCTAGGGCAGGAAATAACGCTTGGCAACTTCAATCAAGAGCTTGCAATTAATAGGAGAATGCGGCATATGGTAAAATGCGAAACATATTCCTGTCCAAATTACTTTTGAAGCTGAAAGCCAAAGTGTAGGTACTCTGCCAGTAGTTGCCTATGGAACTGAAACATGGACTCTCACAAAGAAAATCATAATTAAGTTGCAAGTACATTAGAGAGCAATCGAAAGGGGAATAATAGGTATTACACTAAGGAATCACAAGACCAACGAGTGGATAAGAAATACAACGAAAGTCGAAGACTGGTACGTGGTACGACGACACATACCTATCAAGCGAAGAGCAGTACTAAAACTACCCACTAAGCAATGTAATATTGCTTTAATATTTTAGTAATGTTTCTAGGTAATAATATTGTAATATTTCATTTTTTATTGCTGCTATATAAGTGCAAGGTTGCTGCAATTACTGAAACGGACTTATTCTAATATTCACAAATGCAATGTTTACAAAATAAACTTTTCTGAAATATAGCCTCAATCTTATATTTTCATAAAAAATAAATTACGTTTGTAACATTTAAAATGCTAGCTTACAGAAACCTGCATTTAACGTTGTGTATAAAGTTAGATAAATATTACAGTTGCAATATTTTTATTGGTACTTTACAGAAATTTACATAATGAAATATTGTATATATGATAGATATTTATTATATCGTGAGGATTTGCATTAATGCAAGATCCTTAATTTTTAAATTCCCTTTTCTGACCGGGGCACAATGGTTAGTTAAATAAACTTCCAATTTTCAATTGATCTTATCACACATGCCTCGATTCCTCCAACATAGGTATTGTAAAAAATCCACCTAAAATTAAAAATTAAAGGTATTAAAAAATCACAAAAAATTAAAATGGTAAAATCTTACATTGACTTTATTCTCTTCCTCTCCCAACATCTCAAGATCTTGATGAACTCTTTCGTCCTGTTTAAACTCTCTGTTATTATTTGTCAAGCCAAGAAAAACAAAGCGTCGTCTGCGTGGCGTCAACAACTCAGGTCAACAACAAATGGGTGGTGCGTCTGCGCCGTTCCGAATTCCCAAACAATTGTCCCGTCTTTATCAGTCAAATATATTTTTGCATGACAGAGACAAAGACAGCATACCTATCTTCTATCTTCTATATATATAAAAATCAATGTTCGAGGGGTATCCGGATATGCGCTCCTACACCACTTATCCGATTACCATGAAACTTTGGTAGGTTATTATGGCCATCCCAAGGAAGGTTTGTGGATAGGTTACGCATCTCGGAAAAAGAAATTAATTTTGAATTAATTATTAATTTAATTGTAAACAAACTCATTCACATTATATAACAACATAACCCAACTTTTTTTTTAACAGCATGAAACAACGTTGCCATATTTCATTTATTTAGGTTTGCCATTCAACATTCAACCGACGTAACTTTATTAATTTTTGAATTCGAGAACGGCGGGACCGATCTTGAATTTAATACCACGTATCTCTATATGTATAAGCTGAATTCGATTGACCCTTATTAGATCGATTTGGGTTCAATTTAAGTGAACTTCTTCTGATCTAGATCATTTTTTTGTTGGTGAGGATGCACTGATCCAGCCTCAATCGAACACAGTGTGGTTCACTTAAATTGAACCAGGAATCGTATTTTCGAATTCAGTCGAGTACATTTCGTATACGAAATTTGATTGACAGCAATGTTAATTAAATTCGAAATCGTATCAAATTTCGTATGCGAGAATACTCGAAAATACGACCCCAGATCGATCTAATCCGGTCAATCGAATTCGACTATAGAGGAGAGTGGTATAGGCTATTTTTTATCCCGAAAAAAAAGTTCGGTTGCGCGAAACTCTGATACACTGGAATGCCTATAAACAGCCCGGGGCGCTCTAGAGCAGCTCTGGAGTGCCTAAAATGCGTCACTGAACTCACTGGCAAGCAACTCTGGTATCGGACAAAAAAAAAAAAAGATTAAATAGAAAATCAACAACAAAATTTGAAAAAAAGTGTAGTGTCACGATATCGTCCGCCAGACTGTCAAGAATCGACGGAGAAAATACTCGAATCTAGCGAATTATTCTACTATAATCGAGAAATAACATTATCGTGTGTGTTCTAGATTTTACAGGAATAGATTTAGGGATATATATAAGGACGGGTGTTAGCTTGCAAGTTAAGTTAAAGTTTGACTGTGATACGAGTTAAATAGTGATTATTGAGTTGTAAAGTTTAATTGTTGAGTTAGTTATTAAAGTAATTAGTGTCAGAGTGTATTGTTAAGTGGAATAAATTATTGCTGTGTTAATCGGACTTTGATTTTTGGAATAAACGAAACGAACGACGAACCCAGGATTTCTGTCAGCAGGCAACACAAAGCCACGACAGTATTATATCAAAATGTATTTTCACGCTGGCAACGCAGCGGGTCATTAGTTAGTTACAAATAAAATCTATCTGCAAGTTTTATGCAACATTGAGAAAATGTATGTTTCTTATTCCAAAGTTTATGTTGAAATATTTAGGTAATGTTTTTTATTCTTGAAATTGTTAACGTAGGCATGTAAAGGTATCTGCAACATTACAGCGACAGTTTTAAGAAAAGTTGAGCTTATAATATTTATGCAACCATTTATTTTATTATATTTTTTAAATGTTACAAACGTAAATATTTCCGCAACATTGAAGCGACAGAGTTAAGGAAAGTTACATTTTATAACATTGTTATAATATTTGCTTTACTTACATTTTATAATGTTTCGAATGTAATCCATTATTGTATCTACTGCAACATTTACTTGATAACTAAAACGAATGTTTCTCTATTGAAGTTATATCAAATTTATATCCTTTTACATTGGATAAGTAATATTTTAGAAAGCTTATCGTCACATTACCTAATAAATTTTCTAAAGCAAGGTCAATACAATATTGCCGACAAATTTTGCAACATTACATGTTTAGTGGGTAACTGGGCACCAGTAGGTCACAGAATAGAAATAGTGGGCAAAATCTGAGAGAGCCCTGCTATATCCAGAGAATAGAGAACGGCTAGGAAGAAGAGAAGCAGATGAGATTGTGAAGTTCTGGACACTGCCAGAATACAAAATACGCGTATAGGTATTTGTACCCTGCTGTAAGACAATGAAGAGAAACCGAATTCTCATTTACTGGATGCTGCACTAGTTACAGACCGGTTACAACCTGATCAGAATCGTTCTTAAACTAGCGCAACATCTCATAAATGAGAATTCGAATATCCACACGGTCCACACGTATGATTTGTGATCAGGTTCAGAATCATTACTAGATTGTTGTTATAGTGGTGATCTAATTTCAGGCTTAGAAAAATAATGATTCTTTCATTGAAACTTGCAAATTCGTTCTTTGAAACGACGCTAAGTGTGTACGCTACTGTCGGGCGCCTAAATTCACAGGCAGAGATAACACAGCACGTGTTGAAGAAAGACGCAAACCCACTACTACTATTTTTCGACGTGTTTTACATTGAAAAGGAAACTCCGTGAGCATTTCGCTCGCCGCGCCGCGCCGTGCTATTGCATGGTGCCTTTCGAATAAAATTCATTCAATAAATTAATTTTTTAATAAATAAAATTGATTCGGTAAAAATGTTACTTAAACTAGTGGTGATTTTTCTAAGTGTTTACGGTACGATGGCCCAAAAAGAACATCAAGACTGGGGTAAGTTTGTTTTTTGGTGTCGAATTCGGATTGAAATTTTGCCGCGCCATGCGACTGGGAATCCTTGTCACGTAGGCCCGAAGTTGCGCTCGATAATTTTCTTTACTTTTACTTTGGATTAATTATGTTTTAATTGGTTTATTTATTTCGATGACAAAAATATTGAAAAATTATTTTACATTTGTTGTAAAATTAAAAATTGTTGCATAAAAGCGCAATTACGTAATGCGGAGGATTTGATTTAATTTGAAAATTTTATCGCGGTTTTATCGATACGATTTTTACTACGAATTGATTAATAATTATTGTACCTATTACTGTTGAAAGATAATATTTTACTAGGTATGAGTTTCATGTTAATTGAACAGGCTAAATATAGGTATCAGCATACATAAAAGTTAATTACAATCGGAAAAACAAATTTGAAAAACTTCGGAATTTGTGTCTATTAGAAAATTGATATTTATAGATAAAACAATAATAAATTGCCTTGAGTGATATTCCAGTTTTTTATATAGGTACTAGTAAGTAGGATGTTCTGTTACATACTCAAATTGTTACAAATCAAGAGAAAATCAAAATCAAACTAAATACTTTTATATTGATAAAAAAATTGCTGTCAATTATTATTATTGAATTGTCTGTTTGTTTTTTTTTACATAATACTAATTCTCTATGTATTGAGGGTATTTATTCTTATTGAGTGAAAATAAAGAAAGGGTGTAATCCGAGATTAGCCTCTCTATCACGACAATAAAGTTTCTCTTTTTTGGTCACGTAGGCCCTTTTGACGATCGATATTATTTGCTCCGTTATTGCTTCAACGATACATTTGCCATTTGCTTAATGAATTGAATTAATGATGAATTTGTCTTGTGGTAATAATAGATTTTTCAGCACAGAAAGGTTGTCCTTTGACCTTTTAGTTTTGCTCACTTATATTGGACCTTTTTATTTGATCTATATATTTTATATGTGTATCCATATGTGGGATAGATTGATAGATACAGTGTGTTATTTCTTGATATGAAATAAATCAATAATAATTTTCTTGGAAAAATGTTTAACAACCCTTTTGTCAAATTGTGTTCATTCCAATTTCCACTTTTATATGCGAGTAGGTATTGAATTTGGACATCAAGGGTCAACAAGCAAGAAATAAAAAAGTATGTCACATTTAGATTTTCTTTGATTTTGCAAAAATAGGGTGTTTTTTCTTTTCTTCTACTTCTTCTTGCTATAAACTGAATGGGTTATTAAAAATTTCCACAGCTGAAGCAAGTTTTTTCTTGTCCTTATCTTATGTTCCATTTTCATTTTGTCTCTGCGCATGATTTTCTTGGTATCGAGTCTTAATTTTAGGCATTCTTAATTCTCTTCTATTACTTTTTCTATTTTTTTTTTTTTTCGTTGTTGTTCCCTATGATTTAGGTATAATTGAAAAAAAAATGAAAAAATAGACAAAGGAGAGCTAAACAAGATCGACTCTAGAAATCTTTGTAAGAACAAGAAGACAGTAGAGACGACTGGAAGAAAAACAGACAGAAAAAAGCATACCTATGAATAAAAGAAGAACATCAGGCAGAACAAGACAAACGACAGTAAGAATGGGATCGATAGCAGAAAATTTTACAAGAATAATAAGACAGATGAGACTAACAAAATTCTACATAAACCCAGACAGCATACAAAGTCTTAAAGACGTCTCTGCATAGGTCTGTATTACGTCTGAACGTCTGAAGACAAAAAAAAAAAGACGTTATTTTGAAGGCGTCCATAAGATATTGTAAGACAACCGAGCTACACTATTAAGAACAGTAAGTACAACCGGGCCTAAAAGTGAATAATGGTTCATGTATTTATTGAAAAGAGAATTAAAGATACCTTATTTAAGAAATCTCCTTGAGTATCTTAGAAAAATGTCCTATAGAGACGTCTTCAAGCAGACGTCTGAGTTTGGGTTAGTTAAGCGTCTGGGTTTTGTAACATACGACGTCTTCAAGATGTCCTTAAGACACCTTGAAAATGTAAGCAGACGCTAAAAGACGTCTTGAACGTAATTGGTCGACATCTTAGAGACGTCCTTAAGATGACTACAGAGACTTCCCACAGAATTGGTTTCTCATTTAATTTAGAATTTACTGGAAACCATTTAGAATGCTACATAACACTTCAATAAACCTGTTGAAAAGTGCAAAACAACTAAAATTTAATTCAGAATTTTTAAAAGCATTCTGTAGCACCTGGCACCTCAAAACATTTTGTAAACTTCAAAACCAAACATTCAAAAACCGACTTATAATTTCCAAAAGCATTTTAAAACAATTCAGAAGTTTGAAACTCATTTTGGGACGCCCTGTCTCTTTAGTAACATTTTGAAAAACATCAGAATCTTGAAATTCAGGTTAAAAGTTACCAAACACCTTTCAGAAGGCTTTCGAGAGCGAAATTATATTGTTGTCGAGGGGGAGGTCACTCGCCACAATTTGAACACCTATTTATAAATACAAATAAATATGTAAGTATTTGCTGTATTTAAATGTATTTACTTCTTGAATTGTATTTAAAAGTATTTGAGAATATTTAAAGTTACTTAAATGTATTTAAACATATTTATTTATATTTAAATTCAATAATTCATATTTTTATGTATTTGAATGTATTTATTTATATTTATGTGTATTTATTGTAATTTATAAGTACTAAAAATTAACAGTGCTATGGAAAATACATCTTACAATACTATGTTTTTCTTAAATACTTTGAAATTCTCATCTATGAGCAGTTTATCAGCTCTTCTTAGCTGAAAAGGGTAATTTCCTACAAGGTTTATGGGTCAATAAATTACAAATTTCTTGTCCAAGGACTGTATATCTTGATTCGTTATAAGGGCCATAAGTACCCTGAAACTCTACTCATCTTAGAAAAAAAGTTATGACTTTTCAAAGTTTTCCAAAATCTAAATCATAAGCTACCTTCTTACTAAAACGATAAAACTTCAATTCTTTGTTTAGATTCTGTGTCCTACTTAATGGTCCTTTGGGATCTCCCGAACTCCATACACTAAATTATTCTGAGATTCTATGAAAAAGGGCACTCAGAAAAATTGAAAAATTGATAAATCACCCCAAATTGCTTGACACCATTTTATCTCAGGAACTATAAGTCCAAATGAGCTGAAATTTTCAGGGATTGTAGTCCTCTAGACTCCTCCTCCTAGATAGGAATCGCTGAAAATTTCAGCTTTCTATCTTTAATAGAAGAAAAGTTATGACCTTTCAAAGTTTTCCAAAATCTAAATTATAAGGTTCCTTCTTACTAAAACGATGAAATTTCAATTTTTTTTTGTTGAGATTTTGTGTCCTAATGATCATTTGGGATCCCCCAAACTCCATACACTAAATTATTCTCAGATTTGAAGCCAAAATCTATGAAAAAGGGAATTCAGAAAAATTGATAAATCACCCCAAATTGCTTAACACGATTTTTTGTCGAGAACTATGAGTCCAAATGAGCTGGAATTTTCAGGAATTGTAGTCCTTTAATATACGGTGAGAATCACTGAAAATTTCAGCTTCCTATCTATAATAGAAAAAAGTTATGACCTTTCAACTATACAGGTGTACCACGGTGGATGGCGTATTAGACGCTTATGGAGAACTAAAAAACAGATCATTTTGAAAATTTGGCAACCGGGAGAAACGTCCATAACCAACAATTCAAAAATATTTTTGTTTATGTGGTGTTGCCGCTTCTACTCTAAACCAGTGGCAACATCGCTATTTTAAATGGAACACCCTGTATGTGATTGCATATTTATGGTAAAATTGAATTTTCGCAACTTTGACAGGCTGTAAAACCTAAACGGTTAATTTTAGAGGAAAACCGATTTTACATTCCTGTCTTAGATTTTTAGAAACTATCATTTGACACCAACTGTAAATTTAATTCATGATTAAAAATTCCAATAAAATTTAATCTCCGGTTAAATTCAAAGTTGGTGTCAAATGATAGTTTATGAAAATCTAAGATAGGAATGTAAAATCGGTTTTACTCTAAAATTAACCATTTAGGTTTTACAGCCTATCAAAGTTGCGAAAAGTCAATTTTCAACTGTCAATATTTCCAAAACAGTTTAACTTAGGTAAAGGGTATATCACATGAAATCTGCTCAGAATTTTACGTAGAATTTAATGGCGTTTCCGATTGGTAGATTCAATGCGCACTGAGGACACCCTGTATTATATTTTCCACTGGTTCCACATATAATTTACTAATAGATTATCGCATTTATCAACAAGTGTGATCAGTGAATAATAACGCGTTCATGCTTGTTTAAGGTCGGGTCGACAGGACGTATTTTACCCAGAATTTCGGGGAAAATCGAAGATTTATTTGTATTTCAATCTATTTATCCGTATCTAATTCTATTTATTTATATTTAAATGTATTTATTAGTATTTAAATGTATTTATTTCTATTTAAATCTATTTACTTGTATTTAAATCTATTTATTTGATTTAAATGTATTTACGCATGTATTTTTGTATTTATTTGTATTTAAATAAATACATTTCTCGAATTTGTACACCTATTTATGGAGTGACCTGCCCCTCGATTGTTGTAGAACTTCAAACCTTTAATAAGCATCCAATACAGTTCGAATCCAAATCAGAATTTTCAGGAGCATTTTGGAACAATTTAGAAACTTCCGAGGTATTTCAGCACAATTAGGATTCAATTATTAGAACTGGGAAACCTTTTACTTAAAAATCTGTCAGAACAATTTAGAAATTACTGGGAAGCTTCTAGAATGCTCCAGAACTCTTCAAGCCAAGTTAGAACACTTTAGAACTTCAATAAGCCATTAAGAACGTTCCAACACCCTTTCCAGCAGCATTTTGAAAGGCTTCAGAACAATTTAAAAATCTTAGAATTATTTCAGAGAGCCTAACGCCTGGAATAGACAAAAATTGAAAATTACAAAATGAGTAATAATA